TTCAACCTTGCCATTTTGATACGGAAGTTATTATCAGCGAATTTGTTTTTGTTTATAAATAAATATAAATAAAATCTATTTAATATCGTGGAGAGACGTCGAACCCAAAACGGTCATGGCGTCTTCATCTTCCTCATCGTCCTCTTTCTTCGCCGTCTCCGTTCTGATTCTATTTGTTTCTACTGCTGAATCGTTGAAATCGCCGATTCATCCTCGCGACTTGCTTCCGCATTTGCCCAGGCAAGTCTCGTGGCCGATTCTCAACTCTCTCTATGGCGCCGCCGATCTGCTTCCTACTTTCATCGGAACAGCGAGTCAAGGGAACAATTCCGTCGAGTGGAAAGGTGCTTGTTTCTATGAGAACAAGGCTTGGTTGGAGTTTCATAACAAGTCCGGTAGCGAGTTTGGTGGAGGCACGCTTCACATCAAGGTGAAATGGAAATTGAAAAAAAAAAAAAAACTCAATTCGATTTTGTTCCTTCTCGTGCTCTATGTTCGTTATGTTGCTTATCTGTGTTTCGTTTTTTTTTTTTTTTTGAATTGATTTATGGAAGTTTTTGTGTATGAGTTGATTTATGGAAGTTTTTGTTGGTGCTCTTCAATTTTGACTATTGGAAGTTCATGACTGAAATCCAACTGCTGATCTTTAATTCTATAAGTTTTAGGGTTTTGGGATCCTGGAAATTAGGAGTAATTTGGTTCTTTAGAGTATGAGAAATGATTGATGAATCCTAAATTTGAGTCTGTTGTGTGTTTATGAAGGCGGATAATGCCCATAGTTGGACTTGCATGGATCTTTATGTCTTTGCAACTCCGTATCGTGTGACATGGACTTGGTACTTCATTTCGCGAGAGCATACTGTCGAATTCGCAGAGTGGGAAGGAAAAGCTGAGTATGAATATGTAAGCTGCTGTTATATTTCGTTCGTTGTTATATCTTTTGGGGTTCTCCATTTAGGATATCATATCTATGACTTTGGTTGATGCGTTTCCGGGTACTTATGGTATCAGGTTAAGAACAAAGGAGTTTCGATATTCCTTATGCACGCAGGGATGTTAGGAACACTTCAAGCACTGTGGGATGTTTTTCCTCTCTTTACCAATACTGGTTGGGGGGAGAGCTCTAATCTTAAGTTTCTTGAGAAGCATATGGGAGCTAAATTTGAACCTCGTCCTCAACCCTGGGTTACTAACGTTACAACTGATCAAATTCAATCCGGTGATCTACTAGCTATTTCAAAGATCCGTGGACGGTGGGGTGGTTTTGAGACCCTTGAGAAATGGGTGAGTGGGGCATATGCTGGTCATTCCGCTGTTTGTTTGAGGGACTCTGAAGGGAAACTATGGGTTGGTGAGTCTGGAAATGAAAATGAAAAGGTAAAGAACCCTTCGAAGTGCTGACTTAAAGTTTTTAAACTACAAGAAGACTTCTTTTGTTGAACTGTTTCTGTTTTGGTCATAGGGGGAAGATGTCATAGCGATATTACCATGGGAGGAGTGGTGGGAGTTTGAACAAACCAAGGATGACTCGAATCCTCAGATTGCACTGTTACCTTTGCATCCCGATGTTCGTGCTAAATTCAACGTTGATGCTGCGTGGAAATATGCTCGCAGCATGGAGGGTAAACCATATGGTTATCACAACTTGATATTTAGTTGGATCGATACCATTAGCGAAAACTACCCTCCTCCTCTAGATGCTCATCTTGTAGGTTTTCTTTTCATTTCTCACAACTTTGGTCTTGATGAGTGAAATGCACTTTCTAATTAGATTCTATTTGAGCTTTTCTTCTTTTCTTTCAGGTTGCTTCTTTCATGACTGTTTGGAGCCAGATGCAGCCTGATTATGCTGCTAACATGTGGAATGAAGCCTTGAACAAGCGACTCGGAACAAAGGTATAAAAAATCGTGGTTCTTTTGTTTCTGTATACCGTTAGATTCTCTTACTCCTTTATTGAGAAATGGCCTTTATAGTTCAATTTTCCTTTCTTGTTATAATCACCCTAATTGCTAAAAATATTCATGATTTTGTTGATGATAATGTTTATCTAGTGGCTACACTCATTTGAAATGGTTCTATTATTTGATTCTTCTGTTCTCTTTTATCTATATGATTTATGTATGTGACTTTGTGCCGTGTCCTTCTCTATCATGTTAAATTGCAGGGTCTTGATCTTTCTGATGTACTGGTGGAAGTAGAGAAGCGTGGATCCTCTTTTGATAAACTACTGGCAGTACCTGAACAAGACGATTGGATATACAGCGATGGTAAATCAACCTCATGCATCGCTTTCATACTCGAAATGTACAAAGAAGCTGGCCTATTCGGTTCATTAGCTAATTCTATTCAAGTCACGGAATTTACAGTAAGAACCAATACATATCGTCTCTGTTTTAGCCGTATCCCGCCCTAAGCTCTTGTTACTGTGTTTTCTTAATCTCTTCTCTGTTAATTTTCAATTTGCAGATCAAAGATGCTTACATGCTCAACTTTTTCGAGACCAATGCAAGTCGTCTTCCTCAATGGTGCAATGACAATGACAATGTGAAGCTTCCTTACTGTCAGATTCTCGGTAAATACAGAATGGAATTTCCTGGTTACAACACAATGGATCCATACTCGCATATGAACGAACAATGTCCATCTTTGCCTCCAAAGTACAATAGACCAGAGAACTGCTAGAACCATAAAAATTCGATTGTTATCTTCCTCAGATGTCTGTTTGATTGTGATCAAAGTTTATGTAATACAGTTGAAAATTCAACAACTTTTAGTTAATCTGTTTGTAAATATATATTATTCAGGTTTGTAGCCTTTGAAATTACACTCTATGTGATTGTTTGGATATGATACACAAGATTTATCTTTTGAAAGATTTATCTTTTCTCATCTTTTGTTTTTGTTTCCAACAACATGCAATATGCCTTGCTCAGGCATCGAACGCGCCACGTCACGCGTTGCTTTAGCGTACACACCATGTGACTGTACAACATACAATTTTGGTTTTGATTTTCAAGCAATACAATTTTACAACATACAATTTTACAACAAAATTGGGTCTTATTTTGTAACAATACAACATACTCATCTAAAAAAAGTAAAACAAAATTCTCATCAAACATAAGTCATCTTCAATTCGGTTTAGTTTGGTTTATTGGATTGAAACAGGTCTGATTTTAATCTCATCTTCCTCAGTACACAAGGACATTCAAGTAGAAGCAAAAAGATCGAAACTTTCGATTCGTAATGTGCGTGATTTCATCAGGACAAGTGATGGGCCATGTCGTGGCCCGGTCTCAACTGATACTGTCTCGAAGTATCTTCTCCGACTGTATACGGTGTCGAGGCTTGAGGGTTTCAAAAACCCTAAAAATGGATTCGCAATCTAAGCGACCAACTTGCCCTTCTTGCGCTAAACCCATCCAGCTCTGCCTCTGCAAGCGGATGCGATCTCCTTGTCTGGATAATCAGGTCAGTGTTACTATTCTGCAGCACAGTCTCGAAAGAAAACACGCGCTTAATTCTACTCGAATCGCTAGATTAGGGCTTAGGAATGTTAGTGTTACCACCGTTTTCGATGTACATAACGAGGCCGAGTTCGTAATCAGGGTTATTGGATCGGGTTGCAGCAAGATTGACACGAATCGTTTGGATTCTGATTATAGGTTAGAGAATGGAGCCTCCTTGGAACTTGATGATAGCTCAAACTCAAAGTTAGGTAGTGCCAATGGGGAGAACTTAGAATCTGGAAAGAAGTTGGTGCTTTTTGACCATGGAAGCTTGAAAACTTCTGAAAGTTTGAATTTTTCTCAATATTCGGGTGAAATTTCCAGTGGGGATTCGCTGGTTACAGAGAAGATAGGTTCTTGTGACGAAAGTGAATCAGAAGATTTGATAAGAATCTCTATGATGAAACGAGGTGTCATCAGCAATGTCACACACTCTTTGATGCTCAAAACCAGTGTGGAGGATCCTAGTTTTGATCAAATATTGGCTTCTCCTGTCGCAATGGATGTTTTGGCAAAAGGGTTTGTGGTAACAAAGTTCTTGGAAGGGAAACAAGAATTCGAGCTCGAGGTACCTGCTGGATCAGCATTGTTGTTCCCGAGCAAAGAATCGGTGAAGATCATTGATCTTAAAGTGAGAGACTTAAAGCTAAGGAATCTGATTGTTCTTGATGGGACGTGGTCAAAAGCAAGAAGAATGTACCTTGAGAATCCATGGCTGAAGCTTTTGTGTAGCCATGTGAAGCTGGAAATCGATGGTGCAAGTTTGTACAGAGAAGTTCGAAGGCAGCCAAGAGCAGGATGCTTGTCGACAATAGAGAGTATCGTATACGCGATGAAGGAGATGGGTGAAGATCATGAAGGTTTGGATAATATGTTGGATGTTTTTGAATCCATGGTTGAAGATCAAAGAAGATGTAAAGATGAAAACTTCGAAAAAATTATCTGAATCACTACTGACTTTGATGTTGTAACATCTCTTCAATTTTGATAATTTATGCGAAAAGTGGTATTTTCGGCAATTTATAAAGTATTAGGGTAGTAATCAGGAAGAAATCATAATTCTGGGGCCAAAATGTAAGTAAACTAGAAAGGAAATTATATATTCTTCTTCTTCAGTAAAACTTTTGCTGCCTTTCAAATCGAACCCTACAAGAAGCGTTTTGCAGAAAAAGCTCAAAGAGTGTTCCTTTTCCGAATGCTTTCAATTCGCAGAAGCTTAATAACTTCAGCAAAACAGCCAAAAGATTCGTCGTTGTTGTTGTGTAATCTCGTAGCTCGATTTCTATCTACAGAGTACTATGATCCACCATTTTCGCCTCTCTCAAAACCCACTAAACCTCAAAGAGAGAAGAAGAAAAAGAATAAAACCCAGCAGGATCAGTCGCCGGAGCCGGTGAATAACACGACGCTGCCGGTGGTTTCAGATCTTCCTTTCGATTTTAGGTATTCGTACTCGGAAACCAATCCGGCAATTGAACCAATTGGATTCCGTGAACCGAAACGGTTTTCACCATTCGGACCGGGTCGATTGGACCGGAATTGGACGGGGACTTGTGCTCCGGCTTCTCCGGAGACTGATGAGAGCCAATGGGCGGAGGAGAGAGAGAAGGTTCTCGGCGAGGCTTTGACAGAAGAGGAAGTGACTGAGCTTGTTGAACGGTATCGTCATAGTGATTGCTCACGGCAGATTAATCTTGGTATATTAACTCTCTTCCTCAAACTTAATGTTATACTGAAAAATCTGATGTGTTGCTTAATTGATCTCAGTTTTTGAATCTTTTGGGATAAAGTTTTAAGCTTTGAATAAGACTTTGATTTGATGAATCTATCAGCTTCAAAGTTAAGAGCTTCTTTTGTAAATGATTGTGGTCTTGGAGAAAATTACGAATTCATGTTCTCATTTTGTGATATAGTCAAATTTGAGATAGGAGCTTTGGAACATTGAGTGACCCATGTGATTGGTCTCTTGTAAATCTTCGACTATCAACGAGTTTTGATCAATTTTGTGGTATTATCAGGGAAAGGTGGTGTCACTCACAATATGATAGATGACATTCATAACCATTGGAAGAAAGCAGAGGCAGTGAGGATTAAATGCTTGGGAGTACCAACTCTTGACATGGACAATATATGTTTCCACCTCGAGGTTCATTCTTAGAGCTCAAGAACGAGGCTCTGTTTTTGGAAGTACTCCTCCTGAACTTACTAATAGTTGTGTGTTCTTGACAGGAAAAATCCGGTGGAAAGATTGTATACAGACACATAAACATCCTAGTTTTGTACCGGGGTAGGAATTATGATCCGCAGAATCGTCCCATCATACCACTCATGTTGTGGAAGCCTTATCCACCGATATACCCAAGTCTTGTAAAGAATGTCGCCGATGGATTAACATTTGAAGAGACCAAAGAGATGAGAAACCGCGGGCTTCATTCTCCTGCTCTAATGAAACTTAGTAAGTAATAAATTCGTCGCAAAGTCTTCATCGCTCTACCTCGGACTCATTTTTCCGGACTTACCTCGTTTTTCATTGGCATTTTGTATTTGGTTCAGCTAGGAATGGTGTCTATGTTAACGTTGTGGGAAGAGTGGGGGAGGAATTTGAAACAGAAGAGGTTGTGAGACTAGATTGCACTCATGTTGGGATGAGTGATTGCAAACGTATCGGTGTGAAGCTGAAGGTATATAAACTCTAAATGTGTCCTGCTTGTCATTTTCAGTGAGATTCTGTAGGATTGATCATTGATGATTTGATGAAAATTGCAGGATTTGGTTCCATGTGTTCCTATCTTGTTCAAAGATGAGCAGATCATACTCTGGAGAGGGAAGAAGAATTGAGATGAAGAGCTGTGTTGTTACTCTTAGAAACTCTGATCTACTACAATCTTCCTGTGACCTAAACAAATCCAACTGTAAACCAAAACTTCGACATTGATACAACAAATCTTAACATAAATTCATACGTCTGAATCAAGAATTAGTCACAGATGGAAGATACAAATCTTGGTTGATTTGTTTGTTGCAATACGAAGGAGGGATGTGTCTAATCCAACCAAACCGAACCAAGTCTAATCCGAGTTTTATGAAAGAACATGAGTTTCGGTTTCATTTTTTTGCACTACAAAAGTTGTTGTTATTTATGAAGTTGACCAAAATTTGATTTTTATCGTTTCAAATTCACCCAAGGACACCAAGTCACCAACGGAATTGCACCTAATAGCCGGTTATAACCGGTTCAAAACCAAACCGGTTTCAGTGTTTGAGTACAAACAAATGATGGGCTGGGCTAAAAGTTATAATATTGGGCCCATAATAAAATATACAGACTTATCTTATTATATAGAGTAATCTACACTTTCTACGTGTTTCATTTTTAGTTTTCGTTTCTCTTCCCCGAGATTATAATCAGCGACGATTCCTTTTTTTTAGGGTTTTTTTTTCTTGTCGTCATGATGCAGCAGCCACCGTCAAACGCTGCCGGAGCAGGACAGATTCCATCGGACCAGCAAGCTTATCACCACCACCAGCAACAGTCGTGGATGATGATGCAACAGCAGCATCAACAAGGTCAGCCGCCAGCTGGATGGAATCAGCAGTCGGCGCCGTCACCGGGTCAACAGCAGCAACACTACGGAGCTGGATCTCAGAATCCAGGATCCGATGGTGAGATCCGGTCGCTGTGGATCGGTGACTTGCAGCCATGGATGGACGAGAACTATCTCACGAGCATCTTTGCTCAGTCTGGCGAGGTAATCTTTAACATGCGAATCTTTGAGTTTTCATGTGGAAGTTTGATTAGTATTTTCCCGTCTCTAAAGCCCCAAATTTTCCCTTGATATCAGTTTCTTTGTGTCAACGATTTTCATCGATTAGGGAAACGAATAGGACTGGAAATCTTCATTCTTTTGTTGTTTTTTCCGCCGTATTCTTTCAATATTTGTGAATTCTTTTCCTGTTTTCACGTATGCCTTGGCTAGCTAGTATTGTGATTCCTACGGTTAGTGAAGGTTTAGTGTTTTATCTGTGGTTCCAGGTGCAATCGGCTAAAGTTATTCGCAATAAGCAGACCGGACAGTCTGAGGGTTATGGATTCATTGAGTTTGCCAACCATGCTGCAGCTGAACGGGTTTTGCAGAGTTACAACGGTGTTCCAATGCCGAATTGTGAACAGAACTTCAGGCTGAACTGGGCTCAGGCCGGGGCTGGAGAGAGACGCCAAGCCGATGGGCCTGACCACACTATCTTTGTAGGCGACCTGGCTCCTGAGGTCACTGACTATATGCTCACGGAAACATTTACGAACGTATATTCGTCTGTCAAGGGGGCAAAAGTTGTGACTGACAGGACCACTGGACGGTCCAAGGGATATGGTTTTGTCAGGTTTGCGGACGAAAATGAGCAGATGCGTGCCATGACTGAAATGAACGGTCAATACTGCTCGACCAGGCCTATGCGTATTGGTCCGGCTGCCAACAAGAAGCCTCTGACAATGCAACCAGGTATGTATGAAAGAATAATGTGCATTGAGTATGTTGGTAGCACGAGTAGATTTTTGTTGAGCATGATAATTGATTGCCCTTAGTTTTGTGTGTATGCATTCCTTTTGTGCGAACTTTCTGTTTGGTGAAGTTTGTTCTTTCAGTTGGTGCTCTTTTTCCCTTCCGGTTCTCGCTTTTCTGCACTTAAAATGATTTTGATATCATAAGGCATCCAAAAAACTTATAAAGATCAACTCATGTTGTCTTAAAGCAGGAGAACAAGTGGCTCTCTTTGGGGGAGCCTGGAACTGATCTCGGCTGAAAATGATTCCACCTTATTGCGTGGCCTCATTTAGGTCAGTTGGTTATGTTTTCAGAAGAAGTTAAATACAAGTGGCTTTATTAGCCTACAGTTCCTTATCAACTAGAAGTATTTTATTTTGAGCCTTTTACCTTTCCCCTTCTGTTATTTTAAGCCTTACATGCAAGTTAATACTTCTTCTCTAAGTAGACTGCTTCAAATGTTTTTACTTCTTTTCATAACACTTTTCTTCTCTAAGTTTTTATTCGCTTAAACCTTGCCAAGACAAAGTTCCCAAGTTGATTCACTTGGAATTTTGGTGTAGGTGAAGAGTTTGATTCCTGTGTTTTGTGTAGTCAACTAGCTTCAGGCTTTCATGTTCATGATCTTTGAGTTGCATCTTGTTTGGTTTCTCTGTTTGTATCTTTTTCATTGTTGATGTGAATGATCTTTGCAAGCATTGTTATGTTTAACATCTGTTGTTCTTCATTTTAGTTTCCTTATAGTTGTTTCAACTTGTCGAGTGGTTTTATACAATATAATAGAGTCTTTAGCCCTCGCCCATCTGTCATTTTGCAGCTATGTATCAGGACCCCCAAGGAGGAAATCCTGGAGAAAGCGATCCAAATAACACAACAGTGAGTAGTTAGTTTGCTTTATTCTCCCTAAATAAAATCTTTGGCTTGATTTTTTTTTTTTGCTCGAGTGAAAGCCTGATCCATTATGCTTTTAGATATTTGTTGGAGCTCTGGATGCTAACGTTACAGACGATGAATTAAAGTCAGTTTTTGGTCAATTTGGGGAACTAATTCATGTGAAAATACCTCCGGGAAAGCGTTGTGGATTTGTCCAGTATGCCAGCAGGTATAATAGTCATTATGAGCCATTGCCCAATATAGCTAATCCGTTTTCATTCTTGTGTTACACACTTCATTGGTATCTTTGTCATGCTGCAGGGCGTGTGCGGAGCATGCACTTTCAATGCTGAATGGAACACAATTAGGTGGACAAAGCATCCGTCTTTCATGGGGACGTAGTCCAAACAAGCAGGTTTGTTTGTTACATTTGGTACCTTAAAAACTTGAGTTCTATTATGATAAACGCAGAGCAAAACGATTAACTTTAAAACTTTTTAGGCACAGCCTGATCAAGCCCAATGGAATGGTGGTGGATACTATGGATACCCTCCACAGCCACAAGGCTATGAACCTTATGGTTATGCACAGCAGCCTCCTCGTCCTCAGGATCCAAATGCGTACTATGGCGGCTACAACACTGGCTATGGCAACTATCAGCAGCAACGTCAGGTAACTCAGTTGCACTAACATAACAACAATCCTTTCTTAAGATTTACCACATTTGAAGTATTACGTATCTTCTTCTTACCATTTTTCTTTTAATCGTAATACAGTGAAGAAGTTTCAGCCTTTCTACCAGTGTATTGGACAATGGACAACATATATGAGTCATTGAGTCTTGATAGGACTTTAGAATTAAGAGTGTTCTGTCTTTTTATTTGATGTGAGTTTTGTTTTTGCAATTGAGTTAATGTTGGATTTGCTATGAACATATTGTTAGTGAATGTTGAAACTTTCATCTGTCTTTTTTTTGTTTTTGTTTTTCTGGATTTGCCATATGCTCTAGTGGTCAAACATATAAACCATCATCATTGACAAAGTAAAAAATGATTTGGTTTAACGATGCATTCGGAATTGCAGTTTCAAAGCAATAAGGTGAAGAAAAGAGAGAGAGAAAACTGGTTTTAGACTCTTTACAGTTAAACAGATCGGATACTACTAAATATTATCTGATTATTCAAGCAAAAAAGTAAAATATATTCGATAATACGCAGAAGCTAAAATGAAAATGTTTTCCTCATAGTAAGACAACGAAAGCACAAAATTCCACAGGTGAAAATTAGAGGTTAGAGTCTGTGGAAAGAAGCGTAGGTAGGTCGTAATGATTTCAAGTTGTTTAAACTCCTGAAACTAGTCAAGGTTAGGCATCTATATACGTCTTAACATTTGAACGAAAGGTTGAGTTTTTAAGCTATTCCAGCCAAGTTCAAGCAGTTTCTTGTGCAATCAAGGGTTTGCTAAGCCTTCCACAACATTTGATTGAAAGCTATAAAGACAGAGTTAGACTGTAAGTTAACTTTATAAATGATTAATTCTGTTGTTTGAACATGATTTGATTGACAAGGCACAGACAAAACTTGTTGGAAACTACAACCTTATTCAGAAAATGAATGCATTCTTGGGTGAATCAGCAATGGCATGACTGTGAGAGCCTAAACAGGAAAACGTTTCCTAGCTGAGATTTCATGACTGCGTTATCAATTTGAGAGCCATTTCTTCAAGCTCAGCTACAGAAACAGAATCTGTGTTGATTTTTCCTCCTTCCATTTCTTCATCTCCATCACCATTATCATCAAAGCAGATTTTCTTCGCTCTTTTACGTTGTCTTCCAGTTTCTTCTTCTGATGATCCAGAGCCTTCATGGC